TGGGGGGGGGGGGGGGGCGTAGGAAGGAAGCTATGTTGGAAGGAAGGAAGTTGAGTGAGCCTGGAGTCTCTGTGGCATTTTGTAGGTACTACTGGTGTGGGGGAGGGGAAGACTGGTGCCCCCACCCTCTGGGCGAGGAGTGTCAGCCAGGCATCACTATCATGCAGCCAGGAGTGCCCCAAAGTTAGTTCCTCTTATGGAGGCCCCAATTCAGGCCCCCTGGAAAGAGGAAAAAGGAATTGGAGAAGGGGGATTATCTAGGGACCACAAGGAGCTGGAAGGCATAGGGTGAAGGGGAAGAAAAAGGCCTGAACAGAAGCAGCTACCCTTAATACATACATGATGGATGGGAAAGGGACATTTTTGTTCTTAATATAGGTACACACAACCATGCACACACACATACTTAAGGACCAAAATGTCATATACCGTTAAACACATTCAGAGGCTACACGCAGACAGGCACACATACACATTGCTCAGAGACACACCTTCACACAGCCTCACAGTCATAACAACTATGTGTCTCATGGGAAGGCACATGCTTGTTTTACACACAAAGAGATACCCAGATACACACAGAGGGACCCTCATTCTCTAATCTCACAGATACATAGGCATAGCAGATACAGAGACCCTCTGGTCACAATTACACACAAATACAGGTGCATACTCACACCCATGCTTAAGCAGGGACACACACCCTCTCTCCCAACCCCCACCCGTCACTGGTCCCCCGCGGGGGGAGACTGCACCAGACCCTTCTCCCCCCAGGGGTGTCAGATTTTGTCCAGCCCAGGAGGCACCCTCAGGGGGTAAAGGGGCCTCTTGTGGCAATGCAGGGTAGGGACAGGGGTCAGGAGCAGCAACCCTGCTACTCAGGCTCCTGAAACTCAATTGAGGCCCCGCATCTCCCCAGTGCCACCCGGACTCAGTACTCACCGCCGCCGGCTTGGAGCTGGGGCCGAGGAGGGAGAGCAGAGGCCGGGCCCAGCTCGGCTGTGAAAGCAGCGCGGCTCCCGCTGGCTCCCGCTTTCTCCAGGCCCGCCCGCCTCTGCCTCTCAGTCCCTCCTCCTCCCTGCGTGGCTCCGGCAGAGCTAATCTCACCCCCTCCCAACCCCCGCCCTCTCCCAGGGCCCTGAGCCCTGGAGGCTGCGCTCCCCCCCGCCCGCCCCCCCGCGCACACACACACGTTAGGTCTCGGCTGGACTCTCCCGCCAACCTGAGACCCGCCCCTGACGAGGGGAGGATGTATGGAACCCGTTTATTTTCCTCCACCCTCACGTGCCCCACCCCGATTGTGTCCACGTTCCTCTCGCCACTGCCCCCTGAGCCACACGCAGGACCCAGCTTCACACGCGTGCCCCGCTCCAGACCTCACTCGTGTCCCTAGGAGGTGGCCACCTGACCTGTTACATGCCACACGCGCTCCCGCCCCCACGAGCTCCCGGCCGCGCCATGCGAACGGTTTGCGTGAAGAGAGCGGACCCGCCCCTAAATCCCGGAGACCATCAATTTATGGAAGAGAGACTTGGGGTGCACCGCCTCGAACCCTCCGGGGTTCGGGGTCTCAGGCCCAGGAGTCTCAACCCTGACCGCGCGCCCAGGATGCAGTAGGAGGTCCATCAGTCAGACTTCAGGAGGCACTTCCTTGATGCCTGAGCTCGGCGCCCATTTAAAGATCAGAGGTTGGAAGGGATGACGCCGGGACTGCAGGTAGTGGGGGGCAGGCAACCCTGGTGCCCTTGGCCAAGGTAAAAGGGGGCCCATCTATTTTTAAGTAAGCGCCGCTAGAGTTCCTATGGCAACCGCTCTCCCAGAGAAAGCCCGGGCAGGCCGTAGGTGACCTCGCAAAGAAGAAGAGGCCTGTTTGGGTGGTCGGGGGCGCGAGAACGTGCGAGGCGGGACGCACGGGGCTCACCGCGGGGAGGGGCGGCGCCGGCTCCGCGTGGTGCTGAAGGGGACAGCGCCAGGTTTGTCGCACTGCGCAGGCGCAGAGGCGCTAACAAAGCGGGGAGGAGGCGGCGGCGCGCGGCCGGGGGAGGTGCGCGCCCACGTGGCTCTATTTTAGCAGAGGTGGATCCTTCCAGCTATATCCTCCCCAAGCCGGCTGAGGAAGGAGTCAGTCCTCTCCCAAGCTGACCCTCTTTGATCCTTCCCCTCTGCTGGCTTCCCTGTTCTCACTGCATTGGGAGATGAAGGCATGTGGAAAGAATTCTGGGAAACCCAGGATGCTTTAGTTCTTTATTCCGCTTCGCTCCACTCTGGACAAGGCGCTTCCTCCCCAGGGCCTTGGTTTCATCTTTAAAATGGAGTGACAGCACAGACCTGCCCACTTTGCAGAGGTGCCGGGAGCCCTGATGAGATCATGGATGGGAGAGTCACCCAGCTGGGGGACAGCTTTCAGCGACACCAGTAGCTCTCGGAGTCCTTCACACCCTCACCACCAATGGGTGATGGGGAAGGCATTGCTCCAGGGGTTCCCCGGTGCGGACCCTGGAACTAGGACCTGGGACGCCCTGAGAGGGCAGCTTAGAGTCTGAGGCCAGAGCCCAAGGGCGTCACTGCGCTACGGTAGCCCAGACCCAGCCCAGACCCACAACGAAACCCCCAACGGAGAAGCACTACTCCTGGCGGCTGAGCTGAGCACTCTTCTCAGGACTTTAAACCTCCTAGGGAAGGAAAGGGACCCGGCTGGAGATGTAGTTCTTTGTTTTATTTTGTTTTATTTTATTTTATTTGTTTCAGAGAGGAAGGGAGAGGGAGAGATAGAAACATGATGAGAGCGAATCATTGATCAGCTGCCTCCTGCACACCCCACACTGGGGAATCGCACCCTGACCTTTTGGTTCATAGGTCCATGCTCAACCACTGAGCCACGCTGGCCGGGCGAGATGTAGTCCTTTTTAAGAGGAAGGGAGAGGGATAGAGAGTTAGAAACATCAATGAGAGAGAAACATCAATCAGCTGTCTCCTGCACACTCCCTACTGGGGATGTGCCCGCAACCAAGGTACATGCCCTTGACCGGAATGGAACCTGGGACCCTTCAGTCCGAAGGCTGACGCTCTATCCACTGAGCCAAACCAGTTAGGGCAGAGATGTAGTCCTTCTTAATGCGCCCTGTATCTCTTCCCCTAAGATGTAAGCCCGTTCCAAATCGTCCAGGAGTGGACGGGGTTGGATAGTTCTGTACTTCACAATTAACCAGGAATGGGAGGTTTGGGCAAATTTGCTTGATGAAGAAAAATCTAGCTTCACTCATTCAATTCATTTAACAATTATCGAGCACCTACTACATGCCAGGCATTAAGAGCCTAGATAGTTTCTTCCCATTTTTCAAAGTCCCTAAAAGCAACCAGAGGGCAGAGGGTAAGCCCGGAACCTTGGAATTCCGGCTCTGCCCCTTCTGCGTTTGGCCTTGCTTGCTCCTCCCATCACCACTTCACTCAAAATCATCCACTGGCCCAAGGCAATAAAAGAAGCCAGCCTCTGCAGCATCATCACGTTCTTTAGACTCGGGTCTCAAGCCCTATAGCGGAGAAGGCGAGATCTAATGTTACAGCACCGTTCTGTTCCGCCCTCCGTTTCGGTATCTGTCTCGAACGCTTTCCGATAGGATCCTCAGTGAGACGGCACTCGATTGAATCGGTCTGTCACTACTGCCCAAGGAGGCGGGTTCGCGGCAGCTGTTCCTAAGCCTAAGCGAGAAGACCTTACTGCGCACGCGCAGTAGACAGCCGAAGGAGCCACCGATGGAGCCGTCCGGAGGGGAGCAAGAGCTGGGAGCCGTCAGGTACCGAGCACCGAAGGGGCCGAGAGAGTGAAGAAGGACCTGGGGGAGGGGAGTTGACCCGGGACCTGGCCTAGGGGCCGCTCTTAGGAGCTAGGGCGCAGGAGCGTAACGGAGACGGACTCGCAGGTAACAGCGGTCCGGGGACGCCGCCGCCAACGCCCTTTTACCCACAGGCTCCTGGACCTGCCTTGGGAAGACGTGCTGCTCCCACACGTCCTGAGCCGGGTTCCGCTGTGCCAGCTGCTCCGGCTGCAGCGCGTCAGCCGCGCCTTTCGGGCCCTAGTGCAGCTGCACCTGGCGGGGCTGCGCCGCTTCGACGCCGCTCAGGTGAGCCGGGGTTGGGGGTAGGGAGAGGGAGGGGACAGAGCTCCGCCCCCATCTGGGTACCGCCCTCGCCTTGTCTCCAGCCCAGTTCCCAGTCCCTCTGTCTACCCTTCCAGACCCCCTTAGCCCTCCAGGGGTGCCCTGGAAGAGAGCCACCTGCGGGAAGTACTCTCAAAGGACGAGTACCGGGTATCAAGTCCGAGGGCGCCTGGGGCGTGGGGTCTCTCCTGGGAGGGCAGGCTGCTGCCAGGAAAGAACTCGTCTGGGGCGAATAGGCAGCGGCAGCGCCAGCCCCCTCCCCTGCACCAGCTGAGAGTCGAGGTGCCTCCCTGCCTGCAGGTGGGTCCGCAGATCCCGCGGGCCGCATTGGCTTGGCTGCTGCGGGACGCCGAGAGGCTGCAGGAGCTGGCGCTGGCGCCGTGTCACGAATGGTTGTCGGACGAGGATCTGGTGCCGGTGCTGGCGCGGAATCCGCAGCTGCGGAGTGTGGCGCTGGCCGGCTGCGGGCAATTGAGCCGCCGCACGCTGGGGGCGCTGGCCGAGGGCTGCCCCCGGCTGCAGCGCCTATCGCTGGCGCATTGTGACTGGGTAGACGGGCTGGCGCTGCGGGGCCTCGCCGACCGCTGTCCGGCCCTTGAGGAGCTGGACCTCACCGCCTGCCGTCAGCTCAAGGATGAGGCCATCGTGTACCTGGCGCAGAGGCGCGGCGCAGGGCTCCGAAGCCTCTCTCTGGCGGTCAACGCCAATGTGGGGGACGCTGCCGTCCAGGAGTTGGCTCGAAACTGCCCAGAACTCGAGCACCTCGACCTGACCGGCTGCCTCCGCGTTGGAAGCGACGGTGTCAGGTGCCTGGGCCTGGGATCAGTGGGATGGGAGGAGGGCACTTAGCCTCTAGGAGGAGGGATAGGCAGTAATCAAAAGGCAGAACTGGGGTTTCTCTACCACAGCACCCCCATTCCGAACAGGAAAGGCCTCTGGGATTGCCTGGACCAGAGAGCCCACAGTTGAGAAACTTTATTGAACCAGTATCTACACATTGGCAGTTTTCACCTACATAGATTTCTGGCTTTTCTTCAACCAGGGGAGTTGAGGAGCAGTAACCCTTTTAAGAGACAGGAAGTCTCCAGTTCATGGAGGCATTAAGTATATAACCCCGATCCAGGCCCCCTTCCTTGTGTATGGAAGCAAAAAGTATGCCCCGAGATAGTGAGATACATAGGGGCGTTGCTGGCTTCCCCTGCCCTGGGTGTAGCTCTTTGGCGCCCTCAGCCTCACTCCACACCTCCCCTAGGACTTTGGCGGAATACTGCCCTGCGCTGCGCTCGCTCCGAGTGCGGCACTGCCACCATGTGGCTGAGCCCAGCCTGAGCCGCCTGCGGAAGCGCGGCGTGGACATCGACGTGGAACCGCCGCTGCATCAGGCCCTGGTGCTGCTGCAGGACATGGCAGGCTTTGCGCCCTTTGTCAACCTGCAGGTCTGACCCACCCACTGATGAGGCACAGCTGGACTGTGTGTCCGGGCCTGACTATGAACTGTAGGAAACGACTGTGTGGGCCTCTGGTGAGAGGCCAATGCCCTACCCCACCCTGGAGCTTCAAATAAAGAGCTTTTTACCCCGTCCTGCCTGGCGCTGCCCTGTTGGAGAAAGGGGACAGACACAGTCCCCCAGCACCCCAGCTCTGGGGCAGAAATGATCAGAGTGCACTCATCTCCTTGGGGCTACCTTTACTGTGCCCATGGGCAGCTCTGAGAAGTTAACATGGTGGAGAAAGGAGGTAAGAGAAGATGTAGAGAAGGGGTCAGGAGTTAGAGTGGGCCCTGTGTGGTGGTGTAGGGCTTCTGCATCCCTCTGGGATCTGAGCCTAGGAGGCTCCAGCGGAGTCTGGTGAACGCCTCAGTGGAAGCGGTATTTTCTGGCCGGCTTGAGGTTGATGTATGTGGCCTTCATCTCCTCGGCCTCAGGGTTCCGCACATCTTTGAATCGCTCCCCCTTGGTGCTCACTACCTGGTTGTCGATGTATCGGATCAGCTTCTTGGGGGCCTGTCAGGCAATCAGTCAGTGAGTAGCAGAAGCCAGGAGACAGTCTCACCCGCTCCGCACCCCCTGCAGCCCCCGCTCTCACCTCCTTGGGAGCCATGGGCCGGTGAATCTTCTGATCCTCTGCACTATCCACCATCATGTACCTGCCAAAAACTGGCTGGGTGAAGCTCCTGCCACCTGGAAAACCCTTTAAAAGCCCAGCCCAGCCCAGTCCAGACTCACTTCTGCAGGATGAAGGACTTCAGCTCATCCTTTTGGGGGCCTCTGAGGCGCCTGGATAGGTCCTGCAGAGGGGAAAGCCTGGTCTAGACCCTAGGTCACCAGTAAGAGAAGTGTATGTGATAGGCCAGGGGTGGGGGCTTAACACTAAGGAGGAATGTAGCTGGGGCTACATGGGTTAGGGAGGGAATGGCAGAGGATACCTGGTTGGGGCCATCCCAGGCTGGAGGCCCCTCCTTCCCCTCTACCAGCATCTGCACAGCTTCTTCCAGGTCCCCCCGAGCTTTGGCCAGCACCCACTGGGCTTGCTCCATCGAACAGGTCGGGAACACCTCCAGGAGTACATCCACCCCTGACAGCAGCTCTTCCTCAGCACTGGCTGCCTATGGGCATCAATGTTGACAACAGGCAGTACTTCGTCCTTTTCTGCCCCTAACTCCCTCATTGGTACCCTCCTCTACCAACCTCATCTTGAGTATCCCCAGCAGCAGGAGAAGCCCTGGTCTCTTCTTTGAGCTGTTCAGGCCTCTGCAGGGGCTCTGGGGAGATGGGTACGTGACTTTGGACCTCAGAACTCTGTGGTTGCAGGTTCTCTTAAAGAGACAGAGAGCGCCAGGTTTGCCAGTGCTTTGGGGATAGGGGTTATAAGTCATCCAAGTGCCTGATCCCCAGACTCACCTTTGTTCCTGGCACCACTCAACTGCCCTGAGAGCTTCTGCATCATGTCCCCTATTGTACCCCTGAAAAGACAATGAGGGTGGTAAGAAGGAAGACAACTCTGCCTACCCTCCACAATCAGCTAGCACCCCTCCTCTTGGCCCCAGACAGACCCCACCTTGGGATATGGGCGAATCCAGGCACATAGGCCTCCATCATCTCAGTGAAAGCCTCCATATCGAAGTTCTCCTCTGATGGACCTGAGGGGCCCAAATCCTCCAGGACCCCGAGCACATAGGAGAAGATGACCTCATCCAAGCCGCTGCAGGAAGGGGACAAGTCAACCATGGGTAAAGCACCGGATACCTCCCGCACTCCCACCTAGCTCAAGGCTCCAGCCCTCGCCTTCACGGGGCCCATGAGCCAGACCTCAAGCCTTGAGGCCAGAGAATATTCCACCCTCCCTCAGAGCTCTGGTTTCCCATTTGTACAAAAAATGGGACAAGGACAGAATAAGAAGTAAAGCCATGCCAGCAAATCATACTCAGCCCTCCCCCACCTCAGGAATAGGGCCAAGTGTTCCCATCCCAGTCTTTCCATTGGCCATGGCCCAGATCCTGCCAGGCAGCTCCAACCCTGGCCCGAGCACGATTCTTCTAGGAGAGCTGCTTCTACCTGAGGTCAGCCTCTGGGAGGTGCGTCTGGACAAAGGCAAGGAGGGCTGCACTGACGATCCTCTCCAGCTCCATTCTCTCCTCTTCTGAAAGGACACAGATGTAGGTTTATCAGGCCCTCTTCTGCCTGCCCCTACCCACTAGGCCCAGGGGCAGTCAGCTCCTCCCTCCTGTCCTGTGGAAACCATTTGTTAATGTTGCCCATAGCTTCCAGCTCTCCAACCCTCCCCCGCACCCCCAAGCCGAGCCAAGCCCTCTCCCTGCCCATCTCTCCACCTCCTCCAGCCTGAAACAGGGCAGGGTACTGTGGCAGGGGAAGGTTCCAGAGTGGCAGTGCCCCTCACCCCTCCTGATGACCTCTCTCCATCTCCCCACCCCATGCCCTAGCAGCAGGCCCAGACCCAGTGTCAAGAAGCCAAGGTCTTGGGGTCACATGCCTCCTGGCTTAGGAATCCCATCACTGAGAGGGCCACTTAGCCCCCAAGTCTAACCACAAGGGGCCCATTGTCCAGCCCCCCAAGGAGCAGCCTTAAGAACTGAGCACAGCCCTCCCCCCCCCAAAAATGGCCACCCACCTTCTGGCACAAAGGGGCTTTTCTGGCTCCAGGGCCCAGATAGAAGGGGTAGTCTTCCATGAATTCTCTTCCCGACCAATCCCTGCCCTTTTAGTAGCTTGGGACTATCTACAAAGGACTTTCCATCTTCCTTTCCAAGGCCTATGGAGCCCTACAAGATCTGGCCTTTGCCTGCCTCTCCAACCTTTCCATTTCTTCCTCACTCCACTCCTGCCCCACCAGCCTCCTTGCTGTTCCTCAAACTTGCCCGGCTTCTTCCTCTCTCCAGATATCCACATGGCTCATTCCCTCACCTCCTCCAGGGCTCTGCTCAAATGTTGCCTCTTCAGAGAGACATTCCCTGACTAACCTACCGAAATAGGTATTCCTCATACTCCTTAGTCCCTTACCGTGCTTTATTTTCTATATAGCTTTTATTACAGCTTAATGTTACTTTATGTTTATTTGCCTATAAACATAAAATAACCTACCTCATAGAACAGTGATGGCGAACCTATGACACGCGTGTCAGAGGTGACACGCGAACTCATTTCTTTGGTTGATTTTTCTTTTTTAAATGGCATTTAAATATATAAAACAAATATCAAAAATATAAGTCTTTGTTTTACTACAGTTGCAAATATCAAAAAATTTCTATATGTGACACGGCACCAGAGTTAAGTTAGGGTTTTTCAAAATGCTGACACGCCGAGCTCAAAAGGTTCGCCATCACTGTCATAGAACGTACGTTTCAAGAAGAGGGAGGAGGGGAAGACTGTGTCTTATTCGTTGGTATAATCCTAACCCCTAGAAAAACGCCTGCACATAGTCGGTGCTCAATAAATACTTATCGACTTATTTCATTCCCACCTACATGTGCATGACTCCCAAGTCTGTAGTTGGGAGTCAGGAACACACAGATGGGAATGAATGGCTCCAGGCACAGAGGTCCAAATGTCAGCTCTCCATCCCATTCAGAAGACTCAGAGGCACCTTAAATTCTACCCACTCTGAACTCACCACATCCTCCCAATGTGTACATTCCCTCTCCAAATATGCACCTTCTCCTGTTTCACCAGCTGACACAGCAACTCATTCACTCAGCTGCCAAACCTGAAACTTGGGGCTTATCCTTGATTCCTCCCTCTCTCAATCCTGCCTGTGTACTCAACCAATACCAAGTCCTGTCCACTCTATTCCCTTATTCGTTTCCATTCTATCCACTTTTCCCCAACTTGTCTGGCTTCTGCTCCGATATCTCAACATTTCTTAGGCTAGGTCATGAGTTACTTTTTCAGGTTTTGCTCTAATTAGGTTGAACCATATGAGCTTGCCAATATTGCCTGTTTTTTTTTGTCTTGTTCTTTTAAATATGTTTTTATTGATTTTAGAGAGAGGAAGGGTGAGGGATAGAGAAATAGAATCATCGACGAGAGAGAAATATCGATTGGCTGCCTCCTGCGCATCCCCTACTGGGGATTGAGCCCACAACCCAGGCACGTGCCTTGACAGGGAATTGAACCGTGACTTCCTGGTTCATAGGTCAATACTCTAACCACTCAGCAAACCAGCTAGGGCTTGCCTGTTTTTTATTTACAAAATAAAAAGGTTTGGCACGGCCCAAGGACTGAAGGGTCTTGGGATCGATTCTGGCTAAGGGCATGTACATTGGTTGCAGGTTCAATCCCTGGTCCTGATCAGGGTGCATGCAGGAAGCAACAAATCGATGTGTCTCTCTCACATCGATGTTTCTCTTTTTAAAAATCAATGGAAAAATATCCTCAGATAAGGATTAATCAAAAGTAAATAAATAAAAGAAAGGATATGGCCCTTTCAAGTAGCATCAATGTTGGTTTCTGAGGCATCACACTCCTGTTTTCCTACCTTTCTGGCCATTTCTTCCCAGAGTCCCCTCTCTGCTGCCCTGTCAATGTGGTAGCTGAGCTCAGGCTCAAAGCTGCTCCTCCTCTCCCCCCACTCCGTACCCCCTCTCTCTCTGGAAGATCTCATCTGGGACCACATCTTTATTTTATTTTATTTTTTATTTTGTTAATCCTGACCCGAGTATATTTTTCCATTGACTTTTAGAGAGAGTGGAAAGGAGGGGGAGAGGCAGAGAGAAACATCGATGTAGAGAGACATCCATTGGTTGCCTCCCTCATGTGCCCTGACCAGGGCCAGCGATCAAACCGCAACCAGTACGTGCCCTTCACTGGAATCGAACCTGGGACCCTTCAGTCCGCAGGCTGACGCTCGATCCACTGAGCCGAATCAGCTAGGGCTGGAACCACATCTTTATGTACCAACTCCATGTCACCAATTCCCAAATGTCCAGTCCTCTAGTCCAGTCTCCCCTCTGTGACACCCAAGTCTTTTACCCCTCCAAAGCTGTCCTCAGTAAAAGGCATGTCCACACACCAGCTTTTCCTGCCACAAGTATGGGAATTATCCTTGATACATCCAATCAGTCACC